CACCCGAGATCCRCGACCGAYASGCCTGAAAGCCTGGTACCAACARCACCCTCGAATTTCCTTGTGGCACCAGCGCTGCGGCCAGGCCAACGGTACCAGCCGGAACACACAACAACAATGCCAGCAGATTATACCAGGCCCGTACCACTGCACCCGCGCCAACCCGGAGCAAGCGGTATTGCAGGTCACCTGCGCCAAAGTCCTAAGACTTACGTTGATAGGCCGGCCCCTAACCATACTAGGTACCGTGGTTATTCCAAACCAGCGGCTATACTAGATCAACGCAGATTTTCACAAGACAAGTGATCATTCCATACCAGGGCCAGAAACGCCGAATTTGCAGTCATGGCACCCTCGTGTCACCATACAAAAGCCGTAAATGTCGAAGTTTAATCTGAAATAATTGTTGGAGCCCGTTCCAACCCAATGCTGAACCTGAAGAAGTCACTCGGGGGTATTAGTAACCCGTACAGCGCCAGTGCCGAATCAAGACTGGGCACATAAATAAAGCCGATGTCCTGTCAATAGTTAAGCCGAAATATGTCTCAGGCCGCACAATACCACAACCCCGTGGTATCATCGGATCTGTCCGGAGCGAGATTGCCATACCTGATACCGAACCCAAATACCGGTTCGAACCATAACAGCTTGTGCCGAGGAAAAGCCTGATTAACCCCGAATGTAAAAATAATCGTCTCGAACTGTAGCAGCCCTACACCATGTCGATACTGAACCATTATCGAGCTTGTAACATGTCGAATATCGTAAAAATGCCATAGCGTCGTGGTAGTTTCGAACCTGTCCCGAGTCATGCGTCCGAACCGAAGCGGTAATCATACCGACGCAAAAGTTCACAGGTTACGGTGGGGTTAGAAATCAGGTGAATCGGGAAGACGACACGGTAAATCCCGATCATCAGGGGATAGTAAATAAGCTAGAGTCTAGCGAATTTGATTAAATCTGGGTTATGAGTTGGCGGTGGGCAATTAAACAAAATCAGGCCAGGCATCGAATAGTCATAAGCTCCTGTCCGTCCGATCATTCTTAATCATTTTTCCCTTTTCTTAACTCTTATTGTTTGAATTGGTGAAATAATCGTATGTTCACAATAATTAATTTCCGAGGGGTTTTTAATTGAATAGTTGAAATTCTTCGTTTCTCTTTCCTTTATCATTTTGTCTTTTTCTTTGTTTTTAATTTCACTGCCGGAAACGTAATATAAGAGAATATTTTCCCCAAAATTCAAAGGCCGCAAAAAATACAGAAATTAAGGATATTTCGTTTTTCTCTTATCTCCTACTATTCTTAATCTTTTCTCCCAATTTTAATTTAAGTACCAAAGTTGACAAAAATTTGGGTTGTCATTCCAGCTCCGGTCATACCCCGCAAAGGCATTGCGTCGGAAACAGTTCCCGCGATGCCTCCCCGCAGCCGGCCATTCGAGGCCTGACGGTCCCTAGTTATGCCGAGCTCGGCCACCCATCTCGCCATCTTTGAGGGTTACTCATTAGGCTCAGTGCGCCCAAAATCAGGGGTGCCCTGAGTTCCCCTGATTTTTGCTGCCTGGTCATACGAGACCACCATCAAAACACGGATTTGTCCCTGAGCCTAAGTCCCAAAACTGCAGATTTCAGGCGACGCATTGCTTGTGGCCGCCTGACAGATAGCCCGGACCACTTCTCGACGCCCTCGTCGAGCCTTAGCATCTTACGTCAGACGAAGCGGACGAGCTTCAGGAGGATAGCCCGTAAAGGACGTCCACGTCGGCGTTCAATTGTCTTATGTTTCAGTTTGTTATGAGTCCTGGGGCTAAGGAGATGCTTCTTGACTCTCCTGTTTCTTCCAGTTTTTGGTCCCGGTACGATCCTTTTTTTCTTTTGTTTCTGCTTCAAGGAGGGTGTCGACCCGCCTGTACGTCTAACCCGAACCGAAGTCTCCGTCTGGCTCGCTTGAGTACGAATAACCATCTCTTCTTTCTTCCTAAAGCTAACCCTTTGACCTTTCTCTTCTCTATTCTTTTCCTTTTCTTGGAACTCTCCCCTGCCTTGAATTGCCTCAAGGGGGCTTCATCCTCCACCATGGCTTTCCCTTTCCCTTTCGGGCTGGTTAGCGATAAAGCGGGCGTGGGCCTGGGCCTAAACAACTTTAACCTAGCCCCCGACACTGGGTCCTTCCACTTAGATCCGTCTAGTTCTGCTGTCATATATGCACCCCAGTCAAGTGCCTCAACCACTCTGTAAGGTCCCATCCATCTATTGGCAAGCTTTCCGGTCCAGGTCCTTTCCAGCGCTGCATCGTAGAGAAGGACCATATCTCCTACGCTCACCCTCTCTTTCCTGATCCGCACGTTCTTATCCCATCTCTCTTTACCCTTGTCCCTTTCCACTGCCAGACGATCGGCTGCTGTCATAAGGTTATCTTCCAACCCGTAGGCTATCTGTCTTGTTCGAGCAGCTAAGAATTCCTCTCTGGACATCTCCTCTGCCCAGTCGACGGTTGTCCAACTGTCGACGTGAAACTCTATGGGAAGCGGACAATGTCGTCCAAACCACAAGGTGTATGGTGGGTATTCGGTACTAGCCCGGACCGTGACGTTGTCCGCCCATATCGCGTATCGAAAATATCGTGGCCAATCACTGTCTTTACCCTTGCACCACTTGGACAGTGACGCTATCAGAGTCCGGTGTCCCCTCTCTACTGGGGAGTTCGACTATGGGTGATAGGCGGTGGCTATCGAAACTTTCGCACCGGCTCTCCTAAACACGCTCTGGACCTCGTTGGCTAGGAATTCCGCCCCTCTGTCCATCACTATGTTGCCGACACAACCATACCTAGATGAGTACTCCAGAACAAAGGTCTTTACTTCCTTTGCCGCCTTACTCCTTATAGGTCTACTGTCCACGAAGCCAGTGAAATCGTCTCGTATGTTCACGGCGTAATTCATATTCCCTACCCCTCTCAGCATCTTCACTAGATCGATGTGTACCTTCTCTCCTGGTCTGGTTGGATAGGATGGATGAAGTGGCTCTTTGTATCTCACAAGAGCTCTTTTCTGGCACTCTTCGCACGTCATACAGTACCTCTCGACGTCCTTATACTGTCCATCCCACCAGTACAGCCGGCGTATCTTTTCGTAGGTTTCTTTGACTCCCCTGTGTCCTCCGACTACCCCGTCGTGAAGTTCCGCAACTATTGTCTGTCTCTCCTCAGGGTCACAGACTACTCGTAAGGGCATTCCCGACCCTACTGGCCTTCGGAAAAGGTGGCCCGCTCTAAGGCAGTACTGGGCTGCTTGCCTTCAGATATCTGAATCTTGAGTCTCTTCTTCGGTCAGATGTACTCCAATCATTCGGTAGTTGCCCTCGTAAAGATTAACTAGAAATCTTTCGGCGCGCCTCGGCTCTGCCATTGTTAGAGCCCCAGCTACTATCGGACGCTCGAGAGGGATACGTGAAAGTCCATCTGCCACGACATTCTTAGTACCAGATACTCTCTCGATCGTGTAATCGTATAGCCGAATCCGTGTTAACTATCGGGCGATGGTTGGCTCCGTCAGACTAAAGTCCTTCTGGAGGACAGTTGCAACCGCGGTGGGGTCTACTCTCAAGATGAACCGTCGTCCATAGATACAGTGTCTGAACGTGTCCAGACACCGGAGAACAGCTTACACTTCCTTCTTGAATTGACTGTAGTTACGCTCAGCCGTATTAAGTGTCCTACTCTCAAATCTCAACGGTCTTTCCTTCCCTCCAGCGTCCTTCTGAGACAGCAAACCATCAGTCATGGTCCAGCATCCGTGGATACTATGAAAGGTCTCTCGGTCTCATCGTCAAAGAATGGCACACCCAACACGCGCCCTCCTTCCTTAAATTCGTTTAAGTTCTTGCATCGCGAGTTTCTGCGAAGAATCCCAATAGAATTTTTCAGTGTTTCGAAGGAGTAACCTCAATGGCTCAGCCTTCTCCGCATACCCCCGTATGAATATGCGCCAGTAACCGACTACTCCCAGAAACTGCCGGACCTCGGTTGCGCTATGTAACGGTGACGGCCAGTTCAGGAGTTTGTCTAACTTCGCCGGGTCTGCTCAGCGTTCTCTCGAGTCACATATAAAGCCCAAGATCTTAATAGTCGAGACGGCCCATCGGCTCTTGGTTCCGCTGACTGTCAAATTCGCATCGTCCAGCTGCTCGAGTACCGCGCAAATGTCTGTTAGGTGCTGCTCGACGAATCTTCTAACCCCAGGTATAACCTCTGTCTCATCCTTCTCTACTGGCCCTTTTATAGGAAAGTCATCCAGAAAAATTTCAACCTTATCAGGGATGAAGTCCTTGAGGACGGCTACCATGGCTCTCTGAAAAACGGCTACCTCATTAGTCCAACCCATAGGGACAACCATCATTTGAATCAGTCCCAATGGCGCATGCATAGCCGTGAGGTGTCTGTCCCTAGGGTCAAGCGGTACCTCATCATAGCCCTCGAACAAATCACAGACCGAATAGATCGACCTACCTGCTGCGCCTTCTGCTAGTAAATCGGCGTGTGGCACGGAGCCCACGTCTCGTATCGTCACCGCGTTGACCTTATGAAGGTCCTGGATCCATCGGATTTTACCATTCGACTTTCGTAAGAAAAAACATCGATTTGCATAAGCGCTATCAGACGGCTCCGCAAYGTGGGAAACCATCTTTTCTTTCAAGAAGGCGATAACTTCTTCCTTCTCCTTCTGGGCGTATTTCCATCCCGCGTCATTCCAAGGAACATGTGGAATCGTATAAATCCTCGCTGGCTTAGCATATCGAGGGACAATTCTACCGCGCTCCGCGTCGCTGAAAGCTATGGCCTTATCACATGTCTTCAGGATTTCTATCACACGTTCTCGCTCTTGTGGGGTCAAATTTCCATCTCCGATGTCCATCCCTGCTATCCTCTTTTCTGTTAGGCGTTGCGACTCGTTTTTCTTTCTTTCTTTGATTTTTTTCGCGATCTCTTCTTCTGATACCCCTTCCAGAGCCGATCGCTCGCGGCCCACCGCCGCTGGCTTAACTTTTTGAGCTACTCGCTTGTGTCGCTTGGGTAGCCCCCCATAGGGGGCCGTGCCCTTAAAAAAGACACGAATACCACACCACCAAATTCCTCATCTTTTTCCTTCGGGTACGAGTTGCCGTCCACTATTAGCCGACTCCCTAAGTCTTCTACCTCCACCATCCTACCTTCTTCCTCTGTGAGCAGTGGTCCATATCTCTTCTCGGGAAATCGCACCGCGTGGCTGGAGATAGGCAACGACTTAATCTGATCACTGGGTCTTGCACCCACAGCAAGAGCTGCTCTGTTCCTCGGGTCCCGAGGCTCCACTGTCTCAATCATTACCCGCGTCCCGTCTGGCTTCTTAATGGACAATGTTTGGCTCCCATCAGGTCGCTCTATCGTCACCGCATGCACGTGGCTGAGCCACGTTTGACCCAAGAGCAGGTCGGAGCTGCAGTTCTCGACTGCAAAGACAGGCAGGGTCACTCGCACCCCTTGGACCTCTATGACACAAACCCCAGTGATCTGTTGCTTTCTTCCATCAGCCGTCTCTATCTCGAATAGGTATGACCTATCGAGGCGCAGTCCAACTTGTACCGCCAGGTCCTYGTCTATGATGACAGCCTCACTGCCGTTATCAATCACAGCATCGAGTACCGCTTCCTCGTTTATAATCGTCTCCACGGCCCCGCTACCAAGTATATAAAACTTGTCTGGAGGCACACCTTCCATTCCATCGAGAAGGACTGTCGCCATGCGATCCGCTCTGGCAGTCACCCCCGGTACTGTTACTGTAGAAGCTTCCGCCTTTGAGGCGTGACCCTCCTCCGATAGAGGTATGCGAGTCTTCCGCGTGATCATCTGTAACTCATCACGAGTCGGCTTCGATGCCGCCAGGTACTCCAGAATAGAGCACTGCATGGGTTGCCGAAGGGCCCGCCTCAGTGGCTCGACCGTGTCAATCTCGTCCAGCGAACTCTTCATTAAGAACTTGTCTCCCCGCTTTCGCGGCGAAAGGGTAACCTCCTCTCCATCGACCCGCTGCCCGTCCTTTTAGCCATCACGTAATCCGTATCAGTTTTCTTCGATGTAGACCCTCTTGTCGACTTGGTGGCTGCCACCCTTATGGGTGTGGTCGCGATGTCCCCCTCAAAGGTTATCTTGATGCTCTGGCTCCTGACCGGCTCCATTCCTTTACTCGTCTTTATTCTCCTTGCTTCGACATTCTCCTTCATCGAAGGGAACATCGATACATCTCCGAGATCATCTGCCCACTTGACGTACTTGCGGTCGTCAAGCACGACAAGCCCCTCTTCTATTGACCGTTTAAGATCCGGGCAATCCCTCTTGATATGATCTTCTCCTCTACAGTAGACGCATGAGTTCCTAGGAGTAGACGCCCTGTCGTCTGCGCCTCTAGACATCGAATTCTTGGCCGCGTTGGGGTCAGGCGACTCTGGATATGGTTCTGATGAGACACCATATCCCCCTCTTTCATTTCGACCGCGCGGATCGTTGTGCCGGTCTCCTCCAAACCCTCCTTGCTGATACCGCCCTCGCGAATCATTCCGGCGGTCCCCCGAGTCGTATCGTCCTCGTGACTCATCGCGTCGGTCCCCTCGGTTGTACCACCCCCGCGACTCGTCGCGGTGCTCTCTCGCATCTCCCCCGCGCTCAAACCGTTCGCGCGACTCATCTCGTCGTTCCCAGTCCCGATCTCTTCTCTCATATCTGCTTCCTCTGTAGCCATCTCGACCCGACCTCTCGTATCTGTCGTCCCTATATTCATCTCGTCGGCCCTGTTCTGTCTCCCGTCGGCTGCGGGAGTCGCTTCTACCCCGATCGGCCTCATAGCAAGGGCATCGTGGGTAATCATCCAGCCTCCTTGCTCGCACAAACGGCTCGCGATCTCTGCGGTCTCGGTCTATCTCATCATCCCTACGTCGCCATGGCTCATCGTCTCTTTCTCTTCCCCTCGTACGATAATCAGTCAGCGTCCGAGGATTTCTATCCTCGACACTCCTCCAGGGATCGTTGTTCCCATGGTCCCAGCGAAGTGAATAGGGTCCTCCAGGTTTGTCCCGGTAGGCCGTGATCCCTGTGGCGGTCACAATCTCTGTAACCTGTCTCGTTAATCCCTTCACCATGTCCCGTATCTCCTTCACTTCCTCAGCCACGGTGTCAGGCGGCCACAAGTAGTGCGCCGCCTGAAAATGGCGATTTTGGGACTTAGGCTCAAGGGCGAGTCCGTGTTTTTACGGTACTTTGGTCTGACCGGGCAGCAGAAATTATGAGAACTCAGGGTGTCCCTGATTTTGGGCGCACTGGATCTTAAGAGTAACCCTCAAAGATGGCGAGATGGATGACCACCCCCGACGCATCTAGGGAATGTCAATTCTGGCCGTCCAGAGGGTTAGATTCGGATTGACCTGCCGCGGAAAGGGATCGGGGAAACTGACCTCGCCGCAACATTTTGGCGGCAGACGACCGGGGCCGAAATGAGGCCTCAGAATTTTGTCTATTTTAGTACCATAATTAAAAATAAAAAAAAATAAAAAATAAAAAAAAGATTAAGACCAGGAGGGGAGCAGAGAAAAATACAATATTCCTGATTTTCTTCATTTTTCACTACATTTAATCTTAGGGGGAGTTCCCTTTTTACTTTATGTTTCCGATAATGAAATTAAAAACGTAGGAAAATATTAAAAATGGTGAAAGGGAAAAGAAACAAAACAAAATCGGTTATTTATTTATATTTTTCTTGGAGTTTAATTTTGGCGGCCTTACGGTTAATTTATTATTTCCAACGGCAGAATTAAGGAAAGAGAAGAATGATGAAAAATGATGAAAAGGGACGGGAACCCATGGCTATTGGGAGA